TTCCTGTTTTACTCTTGCAGATTCTCCTCTTGATCCTCTTCCCTCCCACTTGGAAATTTTACTTCTGCTGGATTTTAAAGCTTTTTTTTTTTTTTTTTTTTTTTTTTTTTTTTTTTTTTTTTGAGGTGGCCTTGCTCTGTTGTCAAGGCTAGAGTGCAGTGATGTGATCTCAGCTCACTACAACCTCCTCCTCCTGGGTTCAAGCAATTTTCCTACCTCAGCCTCCCAAGTAGCTGGGATTACAGGCGCCCACCACCATGTCTGGCTAATTTTTTTATCTTTAGTGGAGACAGGGTTTCACCATGTTGGCCAGGCTGGTCTCGAACTCCTGACCTCAAGTGATCTGTCCGCCTGGGCCACCTGAAGTGCTGGAATTACAGGTGTGAGCCACCAAGCCTAACCTAAAGCTTTGATTCTATAGTAGGCTACTCTGACCTGGGCATATTGGCTTGATCATAATGGTTCCCTAGACATGGACTAAACAAATTAGTAAATAAGATATATCTGGTATAAGCCACCTTTCAGTGAAGAGACTAATTGGGGGTGAATGGGTCCTACATTCTATATATCAGAACTCTGCTTGGTCCAAATTTGCCAAATAGTTGGCTACCTCTTTATTATATTTGACCTCAGAAAGCTAACCATACATCTATAGTTCAGAGAAAGACAAAGAGTAAAAGAAAAGTAATCAGAAAAGTGTCAGTTGCAGAGAATGGGTGCGGGGAGGAGGGTCTCTGCTTTACATCGTTATTTTGAAACTCAAGATCTTTCCTTCTAGTGTAGGACTTAGCACACTACAGCTCACAGGTCAAATATAGCCAGATTTTGGAAAAGAAGAAAGGTTTTATACATTTTTAAAGGAAAGAAGCTGAAGGAGAAAGAGGAGGAGGAGGGGGAGAAGAAACAGAGACTTTATACAGTCTACAAAGCTTAAAATATTTATTACCTGACCCTTTACAGGAAAAGTTTGCTGACCACTCATATGACTCAGCAAGTCTCTAGGGCTCTGAAGTACTTCACTGGGTCCCCCATAAGCAACACTTAGGAGAACAATAAAAAGCATTTGAAGGATTTTGTGGGAGGTATTATAACCAGGCTTCCAGGAGGCATATGCTTCTGGTAGATAGAACTCAATCATCTACCTGCATGGGAAGACAGAAAATAAAGTCAAGCTATCTGCCCAGGAGGGAAAGGGGTCTGGCTGGTGAAAATGCAGTTGTTATAAGGCACACAAAGTTAACTGCTAGGAGAATTAAATTAGCAGTTGTTGAGAGCTCAAGAAAGACAGTCAGGACACCTCAGACAAAGGTTATGGAGGTGGCTTCCCAGAAAGGGTCAAACTAAGATGTTCGGTCAGCAAGAGGGTGGGAAATGCAGGTAAATGGAATGAGATAATCACAGCACAAACAGGGGAAATGTAAGGCTTGGCCAAGGAATCACACGTAACAAGGAAAAAGGTCCCACTGGGAAGTTCTGGGATACCATCTGCCTAGAAAGAAAGATTGGGTTCAGGTGGTAAAAGGCCTTGAGTGTCAGTTCACATATATGATGCCAACTTTAAAAAAAAAAGTTCAACCAATAGTTTTTTCTGATTTTTATTTTATCTTGTTTTATTTCTTTTTTACTCTTTGGCAGCATCGTCTATGGGTCCGGAAACTCTGCGTGTTGGGTTTCCTCATAGGTGTCTGTGGATAAAGGCTATCCTCAGAAGATAGGGATACTTGGATCTCAAGAAACGAAATAAAATTTTGAAATCTGACTCATCTTTTTTGAGAAAACAAACTTATAAATCATACATTTAAAGAAGTAGATACCATTTATAATTGGCGTAAATAATAATCAAATGAATACTCAGGCTCCCACCGGCGGCGTTAAGTAACAAAACACTGCCAGTATTTGACACCTTCGTGTCCTTCTTGATCACATCTCCTTCTCCCCGCCACCAAGACGCAACAATCGTGAAATTTATGGTACTTGTTCTTTGTTTTTCTGTGTAGCTTTACTACCTATTTATGGATTTCTGATAATATATTAATTTTACCTGCTTTGGCCTTTGTATAGATGGTACTATATTGTACATATTCTTCTGTGATGTGTTTTCGTGCAATGTTATTTTTTGTTTGTTTGTTTGTGTTTTGAGACGGTGTCTCGCTCCGTCCCCCAGGCTGGAGTGCAGTGGCGCAATCTTGGCTCACTACAAGCTCCGCCCCCTGGGCTCAAGTGATTCTCCCACCTCAGCCTCCCGAGTAGCTGGGACTACAGTCGCCCACCACCGCACCCGGCTAATTTTGTTTTTGTATTTTTAGTAGAGGCGGGGTTTCACCGTGGTAGCCAGGATATTCTCCATCTCCTGACTTCGTGATCCGCCGGCCTCGGTCTCCCAAAGTGCTGGGATTACAGGCGTGAGCCACCGCGCCCAGTCCCAATGTTTTGTTTTTAAGATTCATTCAAGTTGCTGCTTGGAGCTAGCAGCTAATTTGTTTATATGGTATTCTGCTATATGTTAACCCACTCTTGATGGCCATGTCTCTTTTTAAATTGGAAAAAATGTATCCCTTTCAAAAACATTAAAATAAATACTAAAAAGTCAAAAACAAAACAAACAAACAAAAACAGGAAATAAGATGCCTGTGAAGAATGCATTGCTTGTGTCTGCAGACTATTTAAATGACAAGGTATGGGTCCTTGGAACTCCCTGTTCTAATAGGAGTATAGAGCTTGGCTGATCACATTCCATTTGATTTGCTATGACGTTTATCTGTACCCTTTCTTGGTGGTTTGTTTTTTCAGATTACCAGTTCCTTGCATGTGATTGAAGGGTTCTAGTTGCTTTAGAGGCAGCCCGGTCCCCTTGCCTTCACCCTGTCAGTTAAGAACATTCAGGGCACTTTTGTACTAACAGGTCTCAGATTTCCATTTCAGGACATTTGGGCAGAGGCCTTCATAGGAGAGTTTCCTCACATACCTCAGGCTGTTGACAACATGACTTGCCCTTTGCAATCCACTTATTCTGGACATAATGTAAGTGACAGTGATAATTCTATGTTATTCATCTTCCTTGTTAGGCTTTTGTTCCCGAGTCTATTTGTGGCTCAATTTTGTAAATGAAGAAAGCCATTTTCTTTTTCATGTCTTAAGCCTGGCTGAGAGAACATTTCTCAGCTTCTGTTGACACATCCATTTAACTGTCCACCTAGGAAAGGTTGGAGATCCTGATACAGCAGCACAAAACATCAGTGCACAGTCCCATGAGAAAACCTCTACTGCTCAAGCCTCACTCTCTAAGATGGTTTTCAAGAGTATTAACAACTATCTCATTCCTTCCTACAGAAAAGAAACAAGAAAATGTTTTCCAAGAGTGGTAAAACATTCTACTTCTCAAACATTTCTCTAAGTTTCTTTTCCTTTTTGTTGTGTATTTCACAGGCAGGTTTCAATTCTGAATAATGAGCATACGTTTGTCTCTTGAGAACAACCTGAGTTGCAAAGACTCCTTTTTAAGCTTCTCTGCTTAAAGCAATCAACTCTATAACTTATCCATCTCTTACTTGATATGCATTTTCTAATAGGTAGTCTAAAGCCATCCCATATGAATACTCATTTTCACACTAAAGGTGGAAAAAACCTAAAAGCCTTTCTTTTTTTTTTCTTTTTTTTTTTTTGCCAAGAGGCAGATATTCTTCTGTTGAAAAGCCTGTCTATTCCTGGTGGGAAGTTTTATTTCTATCTTCAGAAACATCATTTTAAATTTGCGTAATCAGTTCAGCAAACCGCTTCTTATAGTGATAAATAAATATCAAATTAAACTTGCAATTAAAATTTACTAAAAATATAGGTTGCTATAATTTTGTTGGTGATAAAAGTACAGAAGTAGAAATGATTAATGATGATTACTAATTATGCAGCTGTGTTCAGAGCACACAAGTCTATGGAGCTATAGCTTTTTAGCTAAATAACGATGTTATTCCAGGAAAAACTTTTGTATATAACATCTAAATGCAACTCATTTCTAGTCAGAACAAACACCCCCATCACCTCATAACGCTTAGCTTGACAAAGAGAACCAGAAAAATAGAACGCTAGAATAATCGTTTCATATCCTCTTTTGCTTATTCTTGGTTTTTGTTGTTGTTGGGTTGGAGATCCTGATACAGCAGCACAAAACATCAGTGCACAGTCCCATGAGAAAACCTCAACTGCTCAAGCCTCACTCTCTAAGATAGTTTTCAAGAGTATTAACAACTATCTCATTCCTTCCTGCAGAAAAGAAACAAGAAAATTTTTCCAAGAGTGGTAAAACATTCTACTTCTCAAACATTTCTCTAAGTTTCTTTTCCTTTTTGTTGTGTATTTCACAGGCAGGTTTCAATTCTGA